CAGCCAATCAGAGTGGAAAATATTCTTGCTCTGTGCCATTTTCTAGTTGTTAAATATTCCACAAAATGATCAGATAAAAGATGAACAACATGCCAGTTTAAACTTTGATCTATTTGCAAACGACTGAGCTCTGCAACATTAAAACATGGATAGAACTGTAACTACATTAATCATAACTCTTCTTCTCTTCAGTGTTTTTGTGAGTTTCTGGTGGTGCAGCTCTGTGCTGCCTTCAGGAGAATGGGACATCAGAGCATCATCCATAAAACTTCACCCACATGGCATTTAGTGTGCAAACCAGAGCTTTCAGTGGAAAAACAAAAGTTCCAGGTCCTTTTAATGCCATACAAATATGAGACAGAAACATGGATTATATCTTTATATTGACCTGTCAACTGATTTATAGATTAATAGTTTTACTGGACAGAAATTACAAAAAACAAATCTGGTTCTTAATCAAATCCTAATGAGTCAAACTGAAAGTGTCATGGAGTCACTGAACACCACCATGACATTAACACTGACATGGAAAATAATATTGAAGAAATAAATATATATCAAATCTAATTAAAACATAAATAAGTGATAAGTTCTTTACTGTTATGGTCTGTAAGATATATTTTTTCTCAGTGCTAGATATGGTCTCAACAAACCCATGGCACTTCAACAATATTATTTTACGTTTTATCTGGAAATAGTGTCTGTTTATTCTTGCCATACAGTCCTATTAATTATTGCTCAAAAGGTCTTGCCATACCAGTTTATTCTTTGTAATTTATGTCCAGTAAAACTATTAATCTATNACCTAACAGTCATGTTTTTGGACTGTGGGAGGAAGCCGGAGTACCCGGAGAGAACCCATGCATGCACAGGGAGAACATGCAGGGATACGTTCCTCTGCAACTTCTAAAGTGGCAAAAAATAACTCACCACTAGGTGGCGCCTTACTCTGCTTAGGCTCAAAACAGTTCACAGCACAATGTAGCATTATGACATGTTAATGCTCAGCAACAAACCTGAGCCTTTATAACTGAGTCACTCACAAAGCAAAGTACTTTCATCCTGTTTGTACTGAACAAACAATTGACTCCATCCATTTCACTGACTATTAAAACTTTTGACATAAATGTTGGTTTCTGGGTCACTTTGGGAGGCAGCTGTGTTGATCTGGTCTCATACCTGTTGATGTTTGGAGGTGAAGTTTAGCCTGGTCTAATATTTAAGGTTGATGATAATTATAACATTATGATTTCCTTAATAGTGATAAAGAAAATTGTTAAGAAATTTTTACCATTTTATTCCCAGTGGACTAAAATGATGCAGTTCACCCTCAACAGCTGAAGCCAAATTTATATTTGAAAATCATCATTGATTAAAATCTTAATATTCACTTACAGTGAATGTTTAAAGTTTGCAATCAGGCCTCCATAGTTCTGTTTGGCTGGAGATTTTTTTGGGAATGTTTGTCAAGGTTAAAATAATACTGTAGATCTAAATCAAACAGATTGTACTGGATCTGGAAGATAATCTCTCTTCAGTTTGATCATTATTTACCAAACTGAGCTGCACTGAAGAAAGTTAGGAAAATTTATTTTCTTTTGTGAACCAAATATTTCAGGGAAGAGGCAGGTTGAGAAATATTCACAGCTAAACTCAATCTGACAAAAAGGCTCATTTTATTATTTTTTTTATGTTAATGGCTTTTACCCTTTCCATGTTTATGATGTGATCTGTTATTGTTCTATGACTTTTAAATAAAATATTTCTCCTCTGACTTTGCTGATGTTGTTGAATCTAAAGTTTCTCTCATTTATTAGAAAACAGGAGAGAGCTTTACATTTATGTTTTATTAAAAACAGGTCAAATAATTTTTTGTAGCAAAATAATGAACAATGTCACAAGTTTTATCATTTTATTCTAAGCAAACAAAAGTCAACCTCTTGTCTTTTTATGATTGATGTTACACTGTTAGAAAAATGAGGCATTTTAATTTTTATTTGGTTTATTGAAGAACAAAGAATTTATGTAACAAAAGAAATAAAAAATATTCAGAGATAGAGGTTTTATGTATATATTTCTGAGAAACTAGTAGGATATACAGAATATGTTTAGCTGCGCCCTCTGCTGGGAAGAAGATGAACACAAAACAGAAATATCTCCAAATATGAGAATCACCTCAAGAACATGAAGAGCTGATCATTTTGTGAAACTACATCAAAGATTATAAATCAGCTATTTATGTACAATAATTCATTTTCTACAGAAATATACATTTTATTGATAAAGTTCTGAGAAAGTTTAGCTGGTAAAATATAAAGAATATGTTTATCTGCGCCCTCTGCAGGGCAGAAGATTAAACGTATCTCCAAATATGAGAATCACCTCAAGAACATGAAGAGCTGATCATTTTGTGAAACTACATCAAAGATTATAAATCAGCTATTTATGTACAATAATTCATTTTCTACAGAAATATACATTTTATTGATAAAGTTCTGAGAAAGTTTAGCTGGTAAAATATAAAGAATATGTTTATCTGCGCCCTCTGCAGGGCAGAAGATTAAACGTATCTCCAAATATGAGAATCACCTCAAGAACATGAAGAGCTGATCATTTTGTGAAACTACATCAAAGCTCATGAAGCATCTTGACGTGTAAAATGGGAGAATGGCATTAAAACAAAACTCCTCTCTGAATGTGAATTAAAGGTTTAAAGCTGCAGAGCTTCACTTTCCTCCATTTTCTTCTTGTAGATCATGAATCCAACTGCTGCTGCTGCTGCAATCACGACACAAACCACCGTCCATCTGATGAGTTTAGAAACCACCAGATTCTCTGAAACCAAAGAAGTTCAGGAGTTTAGCTTAAAGACTCATTTGTAGTTTGGAATATTTGATTTGTACCATCTAATAAGCCTTAAATCCTGAATCCTGTTACCTCCAGTCCTCAGATAGAGGTGAGTTATAATGGTCTTCTTGTCATCACTGAGCTCACAGCTGTAAACTCCCTCCTGATCTGAGGTCAGATCCTGTAACGTGAGGCTGCCAGACGCCGAAACATTCCTTACATGTTTCCTCCACTCTTCTGAGACGCTGTAGATGTTTCTGTCAGTCTTGGTCAGGATGATCTGATGGTGGTTGAACCTCCAGACCAAACTGGAGGTAGAAATGTGTAAGGAAGTGCAGCAGATTGTAACCTCAGCACCTGAGAAATCAAAGTTTATGAATTCAGAACATTTCAGCAACAAGCAGTTCGAAATGCTTCACATTATAAAAAATAACAGTAGCCAGCTATGAAATAAGCAATAAAGATTTTGTCAGTGCAGTTTTCTGGAAGTTTGTTCCAAATCTGTGGTGCATAGAAGCTGAATGGTGATCTCTAGACCTATAGCTCTATATCGTTCCTCTTTAGGTCCAAATATAATAACTTCAGTTTTGTTTCTGTTCAGAGAAAGTTTTGGCTTATCCACACATTTATCTGTTCTCAGCGTGTGTTCAGTGATTGGCTGGGTTCAAAGGTCACCTGGAAACATCATAATGTACATCTCCATACTTATGCTAACTGATCTGATGACATGAGCTAATAGGATCATGTAGATATTAAGTAGAAGTGGACTCAGTTCAAGCTTATTTCCAGACTTAACTGAGATTTTGAAGCTTTAATAACATTCAGAAAAACTGTTTGTTCAAACAAAGTCTGTTTCTGAGGGCTGTCATGGTTTTTAACCAAAGATTTTAACCAAACATTTTAAATGTCAGAACTTTCTGGACCTAGTTCAGTTAAAGTTGCTCTCCTCTGGTTCCTCCTGGTTCTGATGCTGCAGCTGTAGATCAGATCTGGACCGTCTGGAACTGTCAGAGAGCTGCTGATGTCATAGAGCGTATAATCATTCATCTGGACTGTGGTTCTGTTCTGCAGAGTCGTATTGGATGGAGGCTCAGTGGACCAGGTGAGTTCAGGCTCAGGGTAGATCCCCTCTGAGCTGCAGGTGATCCTGTTTCCATCCTGATGGATTCTGACTGAAGAGACTGGAGCTGCAAACAATATGAGAAAATGAAGAACTGTTAAGCAGAAGAAATATTCTACAACCAAAGTAAAAATGCAACTTTTATCATCTTATTTCAATAAAGTTTTTTATTTTTTTCAAATGAAGGCGTCCTACCTTCTACTATAAGTTTAACAATTTGTCTATAATAAATGCCATTTATCTTTCCAATACACCAGTATGTTCCGTCATCATCAACCTTCACTCCTCTCAGCAGCAGTGAGAAATTTCCTCTGGAGATCTGATCCTCAAACAGTGATGCTCTGGATCTGAAGCTCTCAGAGTATCTGGAGCCACGATGGTCATGTGATACAATCCGAGACTGTGGATGTTCAGTTATTAATTCCCATTGATTTTGAAGTTTCCATTCCATGTAGGTCATCCCGTTCTTCAACCGACATGGTAAAATGCAGTTCTCATTGAAAACACAGGACACGTCGTTTACAATGTCTGCAATAAGAAATAACAGTTGAAAGTTCAGTTGAATGGTGTTGAGGAGGAAACCCAGATCCTCTGAAGGATCATAGAAAAACCTGCCTGGAATAAGTTCTCAGCAAATCGTTTCCATGATCCAGACGATGTTCACTGAACCAAAAGTTCTGGTTCTGATAGGAAAACAGGAAGGAATCGCTCTGACAGGGCTTAAAGTAAAAAAAATCCTGAGCCTGAAACTTATAGTGGTGATAGAAATGAACTATACCGTTGCTATTGCCACAGTTTAATAAAAAGTGTCTTTGATAGTGCAAACAATTGCTTCTAACAATACAATTAACAAGCTAAACACTCAAACTTAGATAAGACTTCAGTACATTTCAACTCAAAACAAAATGTAAAATGTCTGTACCCTAAAGATTTGCCTTACAGGCAAAAATCCCTCAACATTAAATAAGAGTCCTTTCAGTCAATGTTTTTGCAAGTAATTTAGAACATGCAACATTACCAACGAAATCAGTGTTTCTCAACCTTTTTTGGGCCAGAGAAGAAAAGTCATGGGAATAGAAATTATTTTCACAGGTGTTTACAAAAAATGCAATGGACATTCAAGTTAAAATCAGTATAACAGCAGCCAATCAGAGTGGAAAAAATATTCTTGTTCTTTGCCATTTTCTAGTTGTTAAATATTCCACAAAATAACCAAATGAAAGATGTTCAACATGCCAGTTTAAACTTTGATCTATTTGCAAAGTGACT